TAGTTGTTAAGGATGAGTACAACAAAGTGAGAATCATCTCTCGGAGAATAACTTAAAGGGAAAAAAAATCAAGATTTAGAGGACCATTTGCTTGTTTCAACTTTCATTATGCCATTGAAATGTAAAGGCCCCAGAAGAATTCGGTAATACATTCAATGATGACAACAATTAATATTACAATTTAACTTTTTTTAAATTATAATCTACAATTTTTAAGTTAAGAGTTTAGAACAAAGTACTTTTTTTCTACTGCAAAGGGCAAAGATTGTTTTCAGGATTTTTTTTGTGTGTGATTTCCATAAGACAGTTTTCTTCCCTAACACTTCAGCAGATCAGGCAACAACAAATGAAATTTACTGTAGCAGGACTGCCACAACTGTGAGTTCTGTTAGATAGTGGAGGAGCTTGTGAGTCATTTAATAAACTGTACCCTTGCTAGCAGAGATTTCTCCTTACCAAAAACACAGCGATGCTTCCATGCAACAGCCAAGTACTGTGAGAAAGGAGCAAAACCAAACCAAACACATGGCCTCCTTTAGAGGCTACAATTGATGCAGTAACACAGCAGAGTTTACTGAGCCAGGGCTGCCACTTGTCAAACAGGGAACTCTCTACAACACAAAGACACTGCTAAAAGCTCCTTGCTCAAATCTGTTAGAAACAGACAGGGCAAAGCATTAGATCCTTTACTGCAGAGAGCAACCACGTCCTAAGAGAGGCTTTTCAGTGACATGAACCAGACTGATCCAAATCATATCTATCCAGCATAGACAGACATAGGTCTTTTAATTCAAAAGGTAGCTTTAAAAGCTTGAACAAATTTTACCCTTAAAACTAAAGAGAAACTAGAAAGGCATTGTGCCTAGTTAGAAAGGCATTAATTACCTGAAGTATCAAGCAAAGGTATTTTTTGATCTAAATGCTTAATGCAGATTGAGCTTGCCAAAGCTTTTGGAACTATACCAGTTTTCAGAAATTATTTTCTGTTGCCACATAAATACTTGCTTTTGCTTCACAAATGAGGAAATTTTTCTCTTCCATTTAAACTTTATGCCATCTCTTACCTTTGCAATTAATACAAATAAGTACCACATGACTAAGGAATAACGTACAGATTCTGGATCAAATAACATCCTTCTAATGCTTACAAAGCACTTATATTTGAATATTCTGATCTCTTTCAAACATGTCCGTACACTCCTTCAGTAGGTAAATCTCCACATTTACCAAGGACTACAAACAGGAAAACATTACTAAAAAATAAACCCCAAACAAACTAAAAACCCAACCACCCCCACGATCAGTCGTTACCCAACTCTTTCAAAGGCTTATGCGGTGATTTCTGTAATAGCTTGTCCACCCACACAGACAGTCAGCATGTCTGCTCCTCCACTGTTGCAGGCAGTCACATCATAAACCAATCAAATGCCATTGTAAAACTGAATAGGCTTTTTGGCCTAAGTTTCCAAAATTTGGGAGTGGGCCTCTCTCCCATTCAAACTAATTTGGGTAACAATGAAAAAATTCCCTCATAAAGAGGGTTTCTGACTACAGCTTTTTCCGTCAGTGATTCTTGTTTTCCGCTCCAACCCACATCATCTATTCTCTTCCTTCCACCCATTCTTCCCCCCTCCCCATGCAAAGACAGGCTTAGACACCGCGCTTCAATTTTCTGTACAAACTTCCTATTTTTCTTTGCCATTCTTTTTGTTTAATATGTGAAAGCGGCTTCCTGTTTAGAAACATTGGAGCCCTACACCCTCAGTAATGATGTATTCAACCCATCGATGATCTTGGCATGAATGCCTTAAACCCTAATAAGCCTGATGGGACTTTCTGTACATGTTATCATCAAGCCCAAAAAACAATGCACAGAATTTGTTGTCCTGCACTGAATCATGCTCCCTGTCTAATGAGAATTCTAAGGGCTAGCTTCTTTCTCTTAAATATTTCAAACCATACATTTCTAATGCCTACAAAATATGAACAGAAACACCAGGAGACCACAGTGTCCTGTTAAGGAATTCCCAGCACGAACAACCCTATTCTGCTTTTTGAACCCTCAGTCTCTGCACAAATCTACACTTAAGCTCACAGTGCTCAAGTCTTTGTGGAACTTAAGTGATATCCAAACTCTCCCCTTGTCTGACTAGAGGACAGGTATGAAATGCAGGACATAATCTCTGCTTGGCTAAATACGAACTATAACAAATATATAAACTGAATATTTAATGTAGGACCTTACTCTTTTGCTCAAGTAGGTAGATTTATGAAAAAGTAATTTCCAGAGATTCAGATGGAAAGCAGATTTAGTGAAAATAGACTGAGATACTTGTCACTTCAAGAGTTAAATAGACATAAATTTATATATGCAGCTTGTTTCCCTGGTGAATTTTAACTTCAAGGGTAAAGTTCTCCAGTGAAGTTACTGGACACTCACATGTATAGTGAGCACATGGATCAATGGACACAGAAACAGTCTTGGGTAGTTTGCTGTTCATCTTCAAGCAATACTCAGCAGCAAAGTGGTTAATGCCACTTTACTCTAAGTGCTGCAACTTTTCAGCTAATGCTGTTAGCAAAATCGCTAATCTGGATTTCATGTATTTTGAATCTGACAATGCAAAACACACATATTCTTTTACTTTAACTCTTCCTGAGATTTGGTCTGTGCCCACATAAACATCAAAACATATTTTGCTCTTTACTTAAGAGTGAGCAGCAGAGTTAATTTAGAACTGTCAGCAAGTGCCATCCTAATTAGAAACAAATGACTAATTGTACAACTACAGGGCCTGTTGACACAGGCCACATACATCAAAGTCAGGCAAAGCAAGACACGCTTGAATCGGAGGAAACACAGCACCATCTAGTGCTGTGCATGTGCTCGAGATGCAAAAAACAAGTGACTCCACAGGCAGTCAACACTCAGAAAAGTCCAACTACCAGCACTTAATTCTAAAAAATTGATAAGAAAAGAGCTGCTGAGTCAAGAGGTTGCAGTCATAGCAGAAATTCTTTAAAGAAGACAATAAACTGTAAACGTTTATTGTCACCATCTGCCATCTATTCTGTGCCCCCACCTCTCCACCCCAAAATAAACCAGTCCAAAAGGATGACTAAAGAGATGCAAGTGGACAGCTACCAGAAATAAAGGGCACTCTTTAAAAGGCCAAGTCTACAGGAAATTCTGGCAGGCTAGAAACAAATAGGTTGGAAGGTATTTGAGGAATCTCTCAAAAAGCAAAAAAAAAAAAATTGATAAATTTCTTATCAAACACTAGGAGTGGAAAGCTTGACAGAGTAAGGCCAAGAGATGATCAAAGAATAGAAAGGTCAGGAAACATGTAACTACAGCAGAAGATCTGATTTTTTTAATTTTAATACATATTTATGTGGGAGAAGGGTACGGTGAAGTGTAGGCAATCTGAGAACTCACTCAAATTGTAAAGTAAGGCATGTTACTGGACAAATTAGCAGGACAAAAAGTCTTTATGAACAGACAGTAAATATCCAAGAACTCTGTTAGAAAAAAAAACCCAACAACTCATGACCATCATGCAATAACTTCTCATTTAAAACATCCAGAAAATTGAAGTGACTGCTTAAAAAAAAATAAATCTAGACACTGTGGACTAGAAAGTATGACCTCTGTTTCAGGAATGCCTGCAGTCTATAGTACAAAATTCCTGGCGACATAGATAAATGTGTTACATGTGCCAATGTGGCACGAATAAAGGGAATTTATATCACATATCTCTATTAGCACCTTCAAAGAATCTAAAAGAAATCATTAACAGTCCTACGCATGAATTGCTGAAAGGCAGCTGACAAGATCTGACAAGATCAATGACTGGACAAACTAAACTGTAGTCGCATAAGACTGAAGAATCTTCAGATAAAAAATTGCTTAGGAGAGACCAAGCAGTAAATCATGGTCATACATGGTCAGTGTCCACGGCAAATTCTCCTAGCACTTGGTGTGATTTGTACTACAGTCTATTTCATTTAACAATCTTAGGTCTCCTGAAAAGAGGGAGCAGACAGTGAGGTGACAGTTTACTGTCAACTTACCACTCAGCAACTTACCAGAAGCAAGTAGACAAAGTAATGGAAGAGAAATCCATTCTCTACTTCCCCAGACCTGCAGATACCTAGAAGCTGAGGGACTAGCACTGCTTGATAACCCAGTTCTTCCCTTTCCCTTTGTGTTTACTCTGGCTTTCCCTATAGCGGGTGACAAGAAGTAAGGATAACAGAAGACAGGATGATACCCATTTCCAGGAAGGAACATGTCTCAGCATCAGGACCCTTCTCCGAACATGCAGGTTTATGAACACTGGTAAAGGAATTAAACCTTCTTGAGCCTGAAAGGCTCCTTGACAACATGGCATCCTAGGAACTGATGAGATACGATCATGGCCTGCGAGTGCCTTCACCCTAGCCCTGATCTCCTTCAAGGGAGGATGGCATCCTAGAGGGGAGCCTGCGAAATCACTGGACATGTGCTCTTTATTTAGACCCAACTGAAGTAGTAAGCTGTACAGGTGCTTTTTTCATTGAATAAAGAGGACAATACAACAGCATCATGGATTTTTTTTTTTAATAAAAATAAATTTTGCACGTGTAGAGGAATGGAGTGACTTGTTGCTTTGTTTACAATGTGGTGCAAGGAATATGCTATACGGTCTCTTCGTGACACTCTCCTTCCCCCCCAACCTACTAAAAATAATTATTAATATAGTATAGTATATATTATATACTATATTAGTTCTCAGCTAAAGCATCACCATTTCGGCTGCAGCTATTACTCCTATTTTTAAAAATGCACCCAAAACTAGAAGACATTACATTAGAATAACAAAGTATGGGTGCCCCTAGAACACAGAACAGATGATGTAGTGGCCCTTGCTGTCCTTATTGCAGAAGGAACAAAGCATAACTGCTCATCTTTCAAGGGTATATCTTTTTTTCCCCTCCTCTGGCAAGAGAAGAACTTGGCTTGGGGCTTTCTATGGTATAACTTGTATTCTTCACCTTTGTCACAAGCAACGGATATTCCAAGACAGGAAGGTTTTACTGCAGGAGAAGGTGCCACAAGAGCTGCTTTTGGTAACCAGACAGAGCATGCCTAAAAAGCTAAATAAAATTTAAGCTTTGTGTTAAGATCGTATTAGACATGTAGATGAATCTACATCTTTAATTACAGGTTTGCAAGATAGACTAAAGTATTCCACACCACAAGTTTATTCAAATCTTCTTCTCAAATAGGGGAAAAACTGCAAGCAGCATAAGCCTGAGAAACTGTACATTAAGACTGGTTTTGTTCAGGCTTCTACAGTACCTTTAGCAGAGATAAGACTGCTCATTAGCTGTGCTCCTTAAGAATTCAATGTATTCAAGAGTCAAAATCAGCTACAGTATCAAATGCAACGAACAACACAAACATCTGCATTCTCTGTTTACAGCATTTCTTACCACTCGTCTGCTAACAGAGCCACAAAAAATCATCTAACAATTTATTTTAAAAAAAAATCTTTAAGTATCTTAAGTGGAAGATACATATAGATACAACTATATAAAAATACTATCAGAATATGCATACAGGACTTAGATACATAACCAAAAATTATAACACTGTAGTTCGATACAGAACTGCTCCTAAAAAGGCCACAACCTGCAAGACTCAAATATTAGTAAGGGTAAAGATTAACACCACACACAAAAATATTACTACTTTCTCAAAAAGCAAGACTTGAGTACCACAACTTAATGTAGCGGTTCTATGAAAGTACATAATCTCTTCAACACAAAAACAGGACAAGTCAAAACTGAAAGATAAACCAAGTTTATTTAAAACAACAACAAAAAAGACACTGCTATTGCCAAGACTGCAAAACTGAAAGATTCTTTTACTGATGTGACAGACAGCTGCCTTACAGCAGTTACATTAATTCTGGGAAAACTAGGTTGTTTTACACCACTTCAACTGATTACATGTACTTTCAGTAGAACAAGTTGGCTCCCCTACCCTTCCCTCCCCTTCCCAAAATGACAGAAAATTCTATAAAAAAATGTACATAGAATTTTGAGATGCGTGATTGAAACAGGAACCATTGTCCAAAAGCCTGAAACCTTCCAACAAGGTTAAATCCTTTGTAGTTTCAGCCAACCCTCAATGGGGGAGCTACAAGCACAACGCCGTCACCTCTGACAAAGAGCATCGGAATATTCCTTTTGGTAGACTATGAAGAAGGAAAGAAAAGTTTACATTTACAAAGATATAGTTGACAGAACACACCTGATAAGCATATCACCAAATTCAATCACAAAAAGCACCTGAAACAGCTCCAAAAAAAGCAAACTTGATTTTACGATTCATTGGCATATTGAAGAGATAAGTACAATTAAATTTAAGTCTTGTGAACACTTGGTACTTCCATAAGAATATGCCTGAAATTTTTGTCAGACCTTGTCCCAACGAACAGCTAGCAGTATTTCAAATAGATAACATCATTCAGTTAAAAACAAACCACGACCACCAAACAGACCATCTTCCTACAGAATAAAGACACTGAAGTCCTTACTTTATAAATCTCTTCATATGTTTCTTCATCAATCTCTATTGTTGTTACAGTTTCTTCCACGTCCCCCAAAATCATATTTAGATGCTGATCATATGCCTGTAGGAATGAAGCTAGTTTATTATTTTTTGCAAAGTTCAAATACAAGCTCATTAAAATGAGAACTTTAGCAAAACCTGTGAGCAGAATTAGTTCAGCCTAATTCTGACTAAGATGTGCCACTACATTAACACAAAGTAGTATTAGTTACAGATAAAGTCTACAGTATAAATGCCAACAAACTGGTACTCAGCAGTGTGTACACACACAAAGAATTGCATATATATATATATTCACAGAAACACTCTTCCAAGAAACAGCTCTGAAGCTTTCAATCAAAACCCATATAAAAACCCTGACAGACACACTTAGCCTTGTCATTTGTTAGCACTAAATAAGCTATATATTCTTTGCGGCCAGTCCAGCCCTCCTGGGATTGATTGTTTGGGGCTAACTTAACAGACATGAAAGCTGTCAAAAAATTTAAATAAGAAAGTGTTTCACCTTCTAAAAATGTACTACAAACTATACTACACCCAGATCTTCTTCATGGATATGTCCTCATCACTGAGGTCCCAACTGGTTATTTTGCCCAACACAACACAGTACTCAGAAGGGATAACTGGCTCAATTGAATTAACGCTCAGAGTGCTTTACAAGGGGAAATCTGCATCATTTATGCTCATTTCATAAGCATACAAAGAGAGGCCAAAAGCAGTGGAAAGAATCACTTGGTGTCACACAAAAAATGAAGAAAAAGAAAATACACCTCTTGACTCTTTAGATTAGCAATTTTTTTTAAAGCTGATGGAGTAGCAAACAAAATGGATTTTGCTACTGCTGGCACATCAAAAGCATCTGCAAAATAAAGGGCTCATCTCCAGTCACAAAGAGGATCTTTAACTTATCTCCATTAAGCAGTTCTGCATTTCTTTTAGCCATGAGATAAAATGAAATGTGTTTCTGAACCATTACACAAGATAACCTGTAATATATATTCCTTCAACTGTACTACAAAGGTTACTACAGATGAATAATGCTTAGCTAGACAAGCTCTGCGGTGTCAGGAAACTAGTTTACTTACATGCAGTCTGCCTCTGAGCTCTCTGTCATTCCTCATTTTAACATAGATTCGCTCATCTAGACTGAGCCTGATGAGATCGAGGGGCTCCTCTACGGTATTTGTGGTTTGTTGCTGAAAAGCAAAAGAATAATGGTAATAATAACAGCACATTTAACCAGAAGAAGCCTGAACAAGTGGGTGGGCTGGGTAACACGCAGCCCTCGTGCCTCCAAGGCGCCGCACACGGGGCGGCCGCGCGGTCCGGAGCAGCCCCGGCCCTCACGGCCCCACCGGCCCCCGGCGCCATCTTACGGCGGCGCCCCCAGCCCAGGGGCTCCGTCCCCACGGGGGCCCGCGGCCCCGCGAGGCGCGGGAGGGAAGGAGGGCGCCTGGGCAGGGGCGGCGGGGGGAGCCGGGGCCGCGGCGGGGAAGGGGGGGCCGCGGCGGGGAAGGGGGGGCCGCGCCGCTGCCTCCCGCGCGGCGGGAAGGAGCCGCTCACCTGGTCCACCTCATCCGCCATCTTTCAAACCGCCTCCCGCGCCCTCTCGCGAGACTTTATGGCCCGGCCCCTTCCCCTCCGGCGGCGGCACCGGGCTGAGGGGGGGACGCGGCGCCGGAGCCCGCGGCGCCATGGCCAGGAAGCGCTCGGCCCCGCCGCGCCCGGCGGCCGCCAGCAAGAGGCGGCGCGCGGGCTCGGCGGCGCCGCGGGCCGAGGCGGAGGGTGAGTGCGGGCGGCCGCGGCGCCCCCGGCGGCGCTGAGACCCCGCCGCGGCCCGAGCGAGCGCCCCGTCCCGCCGGCCGCTCCGCGGGGCTCGTCTCAGTGAAGGCGGCGGGGGGATGGACGGGTTGGACGCAGCGCCCGGGGGGTCCGGCCGCCCTCGGGGAGCCGCGCGCCCCCCGTGCCCCGCGGGCCCTGTGGCGCGGACGGCCCCGCGCGCACCGGGCGCCGCCTCGGCCCGCGCTGAGCCCGCCGCGCGGCGGATGATCCCCTCTAGGATTCCCAGGCGTGAGAAGAGCGTTTGGGGACATGCCTGAACTTGCTCTTCCCACTCCCAAAGGGTATCGCCAAAATACACGGGGTAGGGATTTAAGTCGATACATCCAGGGACTCAAATGGACACCTGGCCAGGGTCCCAGGAGATGCCTTGAGTTCTTCTCAGTAGCTTTACAGTATAACAGTTGTCCAAAGAAAGTAGTTTCTTGTGAATGAGGTGAATATGATGCTTGTTTTTCGACTGCTGTCATTGGTAAGACTATAGAAACCTTTTATGTAATTTTGCCTCCTACATCACTTGATTATTTTCTATCAATTGCTGTTGTTCAGTTATTCTCTATTTATTATGCAGTGCTCAAATTATTTTTTTTATAAATATTCACTTTTTTTTTTTCTGTAGCTGGTAAGCAGAATTCTCCTTTAATGGACAATACAGAAGTACTGCTGCAGACTGCATGTAGGTGAGATTTCACCCTGTGCCATATCTTCCTTCCTTCCAGCCGGTGCAGATGATTTTGAAGAAAAGAAGCCTAATCTGAGAGGGAACAAGGCAAAAGTTTCAGCTGGAAAGAAGGGAGAGGACAGTGGTACTGGAGTCTGCAGCTCAGCAAGTAAGCCTTCAAAGCAGAAAGAGGTAAAATTGCCAGTAAAAGAAGAAAGCAAGAAAACTACTAAAAGTAAAGGGAAACATAGCAAAGACACAGTCTGCAGGTAAGTTCACTTACTGCTCATTATCATCATTACTCATGATTACATGTTTTGTTTTGGGCCCACTGCTGCAAATATGCGTGTGTAGTTTAATTTAGGCAGAATTGGTCTTGGGAAAGACAATCCGGGGAAGCAGATAACTGGGTCTTTTTAAATTCAACTGTTGGAAGCTTATTGTTTTGTTTTGTTTTCCACCTTTTCTAGTTTTTTAGGAGTTAGGGAATGGTCTTCTCATAGATGTTGCTGAAGCAAGAATGCCAAAGTGATTGGCTGGTCTCATTTCACTGGCCTTATGAAGCTGTGGGTACTAGAAGTTGTTCTAAATTCAGTAGACTTTGATCAGTAAGAAAAAATAATTCTTTGAACTAGTTCTCCAAGAACTCATTTGCACAAGTGGTTGTAAAGGATGGGACCTTTTGTACCTTCAAGCATCTTCCTTGGAATATCTCACAGAACTAGGACTTGCTTAAGTTTGCACTGGAAAAAAAATGTCCACCCAATGAATCCATGGTTGTTTATGACACTGTTCCTTTGCTTTATAGAGAAGGCATCTGTGCTTAATTGCCAAATATTGAAAGCATTTGAGTCTTTTGTTATTGATACAGAGGTCATGCTTCATTTATTGCTGTATTTTTAATGTTCCCCGTTCTCTGTTTCTTCTTTTTATAAAATAAACAAGCACCTAAACTTTGTAACGTTAAAGTCATTTTGATGCTTTCAATAGTGATTCTCCGAAGGCCCCTCAGAGGGAGAAAAATTTGAAGAGAGAATCTCCTATAAAAAAAGAGATTGATGAAGACAATGCTGCTGCTGATGATGAAAGTGAAGATGAATGGGAGGATGTGGAAGGTAACGTTTTATTATATATTCATTTTAAGGAGATTTTTTTTTTTGTAATTTGGTTAGTGAGCCATTTCATATTTGGATTCAGGTAGGTGAGTTCTGAATGCTTAGAGCTCGTTCTGTGTGTGTTATCTTTTAAAGCCAGTGTTACACAATAATATTGAATTACTCCAAAGCAGAGAAAAAAAAAAAAAAAAAAAACTATTGACCTGTTACAGTGCCTTACACTTCACAACCTGCTGGCTTATGTTAATATGCTGCCACTATTCACTTTTTTAGCCTTTTGGATTTTCTAGTACTGAGAGAAGCTAAGATTAAAGAAATGCTTTGGAGATTCAGAGGGGTGCGTAGGTTCTTATCCCATTGGCAGCCCTCCCAGTACTATCCATTCTGTGTGGATTGATTTTAATATTTTATTTTTCCAGAACTCCAGGAACCTGTTACAGATAAGTTGGAAGATGCTGTTGTTCCAGCAGTGGTGCTGCCAAGCAAACCAGTTGAGATAGAGATTGAAACCCCAGAACAAGCAAAGAATAGAGAGAGAAGGTAAGACTGGGGCAGGTGATGATGAGCAGCGAAAGATTTGTTTAAATGTTGAAGATTTGCCTAGTGTTGACTGACACTTACTTGCTCTGGGTGAAAATCCCCAAATTGTGCAAATTGTTGACTTGGCCTAATGTGACATAACAAAGTGGTGGACCGTTTACATCCACGGAGGACTTTTCCTCTGAGATTTGGTGTGAATGGAGGCTTTTCAGCTTCTTTGAAAATCAGGCCCATAATTTCATTGTGCTTTAGTGACCTGCTTCTCCAAGCCAGGAATACTAACAGGTTCTTAATGGAGAGCTGTGGGTAAATGGTGTTGTTTTACTGTAAATATCTAACAGCTGAGGTGCGAGTCTCTGTGTGCGCACAACTGAGGGGTGACTAAATGGAGTGAAATGAATGGCCTCAACATCTGGTAACATTCTTTCCATGGCAGCTGGAGACCTGGCAGGTTCTCCTGAAGTTACAAGGAGGGCACTGTCCCAGACCCTCCTTCTATTGCAAAACATCTAGAATATATCTATTGCCTCTAAGTCAAAAGATCTCATCAATGAAATGGAAGTTTATCCAGGAGACTGGATGTAAGAGTAGCAGTAATTTAAAACAGACAATGTAGAAAGCAAGAAGTTTAGTATGAAGCTGTCTAAAACCACGTGGTAGGAAACTCTAGGTACATAAAGTTATGTGGGATTTAGGCAATTTGCATGCATCTGAGCTCTCAGTATGCAGGTACGTGTAGTTTATGTTTTATTAGTCATATGCATCCTCTATACCTATTCACATAGCCATTGACTATACTTCTGGTAAGCAGGCACAGAATATTCTCAGGAATGGATTCTGATTATGAGCTGATACAGTTCAGGAATCTGGAAAGGCAGGTCCACAGAAAACCACAATATCCATTTCTTTTGTAAACTTGTGCAGAGAAAAAAGAAAAGCCGAGTTTGAGGTGTATCTTCGGAGGATGATGAAACGATTCAACAAGGAGATTCGTGAGGACACGCATAAGGTATTGGTCACAAAAAGAAACAGGTAGAGAGCAGATTGGGCATAAGATCTCTGAACTGATATGTAATGAAGAAGAAACTAATTCTGATCAAAATAATTGCGGGCCCTGGTTAGAAGTGAGGAAAAAAGAAAAGGCTGTAGATGAGACAAATAGTCATAGGATTTTTCTTAAATTGTAAGTGGGAAACATCAGTGACTGCATTCGCAGACTTATAAAGCGAAATAGATGTAAACAGGTGTGTATTTCTCCACTGAGCTTGTATTGTATTTGCTCGTTTCTGTTGAGTTTAAACTGTCACTCTTGGATCAGGAGATACTGACAGGGATTTAAAAGTTTTACTGTCCTCTCGTCATGATCTGAAGACAGCCACGGGTCCACACTGTGTACTCATGGGAGGCTTCATTATTGCATATCTGTTTTAAAAGAGTAGTAAAGCCTTCCATGTGTTTACCATGGGCAACAGTTCCAGCCAAGCAAATCTCATGTGAACTCACTGTAGAAACTTTTGTTTCTCTCAGGTTCATCTGCTGTGTTTATTAGCAAACGGTTTCTATAGGAACAGAATCTGTAACCAGCCAGATCTTCTTGCTATCGGTCTATCCGTCATCCCCACACACTTCACGAAAGTGCCTGCAGGCCAAGTGGACCTTCCCCGTCTCTCCAACTTGGTGAAATGGTAAAGCTCTGTCTCCTGATAATGCTATCCCATGGAATCTAAAGCCACAGTTAAGGGGTGGGGATGAACATACTTATCAATTTTCAGTGATTTCTCTGGTTTTAAAAACAACGATGAGAAACTGTTATTGAAGGAAACTCTTTAGTGAAGGAAAGGAGCTAAGTTCCAGAATGCACTTAGGATGCTAGAAAATAAGCAATTGTCTCATTTTTAAGGTTTGTGGGAACCTTCACTGTCAATGATGAGCTTTCTGTTGAAAAAGGAGAGCCCCTTCAGGCTACCTTGGAGAGACGCTTTGCCATCTATGCTGCACGAGATAATGAAGAATTGGTTCACGTAAGTGAATTTGGATGCCAGATCGTTAGCTGCCAGGTTATACACCAGGTGGTGTTTGAAGAATGGATTTGGAGAAAACATCAGTGATTTAGGTGATTGCCTGGCTTTTTATTTCTCTTGTGTTTTTACTGGAAGTCCTGTGATTAAATTCCTCAGTTTAATTGAAGTTTCTAACTGGAGCTCCTAGTTCTAGCAGTCCCTGCGTCCACGTTCTGCTGTGGATGACATTACACATCACGTATCAAGAAGCTTATTCCTGAGTATTTTTTGGTGTGTTTATATTGATTTAGCAGTGTAGATTGAACAAAACCAGCTAACTAAGTTTCTCCTGAAATACAAATTGAGTGAGGAAATTCTGTGTTAGATGGACAGAGAATCTCTTTACAGATCTTTTGAGTTAGAAGATGGAGAAAAAGTCTTGAAGGAGACTACATTGGTAGGGAGCATTTGAAAGAGGAGAAATGAGCTGTTTGATCACAGATGCTTGGCTTGCAGATCTGTTCCCTTTGCTGATGAAATGGAACATTGCAGGTTTCTGTCACCACTTGAGCAGTCCCAGCTCTGGTGGCTTTGTAACCTTGTGGAAATTCAGGAACACCACTTGCTGGGATGTGAGAAAAAGACCTAACAAGTTCTGCTTAGGCATTTATTAACAGCAGCCTCTCATGAGTCCCATGCAGAAAGGCAGTTGCAGGTCATTGCTCTTCGTCACTCAGCTGTGGCTAATGGTGCTCTCTGAACAGCTGGTGTTTTTGCTGCTTCAGCTAATTATATGTGACTGGCCTTGGCCACCTTTTGGAGGTAGGAATGAAAATGATTTGTGACAGAGCCCAGATCTTAAAATAGTTTTAAGAACTCTTATATATATATATATATATATATATATATATATATGTGTGTGTGTGTGTGTATGTACCTTGGAGAAAAGAGGATAAAAGTCCTTCACTTCATTTCTTTTGCAGATATTTTTAATTATTCTCCGAGCGCTACAGCTGCTGTGTCGTCTTGTGCTGTCTCTTCAGCCTATTCCTCTCAAGGAGACCAGAGCAAAGGTTAGTTTGCATTTAGTAGATGGAATAGGGAATATATCCCTGTGGGTGATATAGAAAAGGAGTGAAAAAATCTTTCAGGCTGTTAAAGCTCAAAGAGGACCACTTGTTAAATGAAACTAAAGTGATGACAATATTTTGTCTATAATGCAGAAGATGCAAACTCTTAATTTTTAGGTTGCCTTTTTTTAAGAAAAAATGGCATTTTGTGGCTTGGGTAAAGATTTCTCATGCTTCAGTAGTTTTAAATTTCTTTAAATCTTTGACAGCAAAGCACTTGCAGCTTGAATAATACTTCTGCATTTCTTTTATGCCATTCCAATGAGTTAAGATAAATCTAAGCTTTGTCCCACATTGTTACAATATTGATTTGAATTACAAATATTTAAATGTTTATATGAATTAATTTTGAAAAGTCTTATTCTTTTAACAAGAAAGTGTAGAAGAGCCCTTAACTTCTTTTTCAAGAATCCATTACATCCCTTTCATCTTCCTTCTGCCTGGACTCTAAATAACAAGCTGACTAACTTCAAAGTCTGCTAGTTTGCTAGTGGCTGTTGCTCACTTGCTGCCTTTACTGAAAGTGGGAAAACTGAGCTCAGGTGTTGGAAGTGGTCAGAAATCTCTTCTTCCATTTGCCTCAAGCTTTAGATCCCCTGAGATCTGCGCGGTCGGTGCTGGCCAGTCCTTGGTCTGCAGGCACTTTGTACATTTAATTGAAGCCAGTTTTCCTGACACACTTACGTGATAAAAGTGACCCTCTGCATCTCTCTTTGCAGGGGAAAGGCTCCTGCAAGAGGCAGTCTCTCAGCAGCACCTCTGAGGGGCAGGAGAGCTCGGCCACAACACCCAAAGCTGCGGCAAAAAAGGGCTTCTGTGGAAAAGCCAAGCGGAATGAGAAATCCTCTGGCAGTGAAGACGACAATCGGGAGCCAAAGAAACCAAGTTCTGCTCGGACAAAAAGGCCGTGCAGGTCAAAGCTGACTAGGGAAAGCCAGGAGCAGAGGGAAACTAATAATGAGGACTGCAGTTTAGGGGAAAAAGATAGGCCAGCCAGACCCAAAAATGACCGCCGGAGACGGGTGGCCTCCAAAGTGTGTTACAAAGAAGAGAGTGGCAGTGATGAGGACAGTGTTTCTGACTTCGAGGTCTCAGAGGAGGAGAGCAGTCTTTCCGATGAGGATTTTGAAACTCTACCTAAAAAGCAGAGGAGGTCGTTGGGCTCCCAGAAGTCAAAGGTAAAGGCTGATAAAAACTCGAAAACGAAGATTTCAGAATTGAGGCTACCCAAAAATTCACAAGAAGCTGAGCCTAGACCAGCAAAAAACACAGCTACTGCCTTGCCTAATGCACAGAGAAAGAGAAACAAAATAATTTCTAGTGACGAGGATGGAGAGCAGGAGCTGAGGAAAGCGACGGGCACAGACCACTGGCTGGAGGTTTTCCTGGAACGTGAGGACAAGTGGGTGTGTGTAGACTGTGTTCATGGCAGTGTTGGCCAGCCCCAGCTGTGCTTCAAGAACGCCACAAAGCCGCTCTCCTACATTGTGGGGTTTGACAATGATGGGAGCATCAAGGATGTGACACAAAGATACGACCCGGTGTGGATGACTGTGACAAGGAAGAGCCGTGTGGGCTCTGAGTGGTGGAAAGACACCCTGAGGCCGTATGAAAGTCCCTTTGTGGAAAGAGACAAGAAGGAGGAAATGGAGGTAAGGGATACTTGGCTGTTTAGACCAAGAGACAAATAAGTTTAACCTGATTTATTCTCAAGAGTCCAAACCTTGAGTCCTCATTCAGGCAGAAAGAAATGATTAGGAAACATTTTGTGAATAAGGAGGTTTGGTTTTGAGCTTGAACTGCTGAGTGTGCATATGCTTTAAAGGGATTGTGCAATGACAGATTTCAGTAATACCAGTATCAAAAAGGAGACTCTACAACCTCTTTGGGCAAGCTGTTCCAGTGCTCTGTCACCCTCAGGGTAAAGAAGTTTTTCTTTATATCGAGATGGAACTCCCCGTATTTCAGCACGTGTTGCCTCTTGTCTTGTCACTGGGAACCAGTGAAAATAGTCTGGCCCCATCCTCTTGGCACCCTCCCCCAAGATATTTGTGTGCCCTGGTAAGATCTCTGTGCAGCTGATGACAACCCTTTGAGCTCTGCCAGTCAGCCAGTTCTCAATCCACTTCAGTGCCCACTATACTATCTAGCCCAGACAGATTTAAGTACCTAACTGCAACAGGAATGCTTCAGTCCCTTGACTCACCTCGTGAAGTTTATGTTTCTTTTCCTTGGATCCAGACTATAATCTTTCTTCCTTTCTTAAAAGACTAGTGTGAAAGAGTTGTGAAATGATTTTTTTTTCATAATTCCTACAGTTTCAAGTTAAGCTTCAAGACCAGCCTCTGCCAACAGCAATTGGAGAGTACAAAAATCACCCCCTTTATGCGCTCAAGAGGCACCTCCTGAAATACGAGGCCCTCTATCCCGAGTCAGCAGCTATCCTGGGATACTGCAGGGGAGAGGCTGTCTACTCCAGGTACGTGCTGCACATCTTGCCGTGTGTGCCTGTGATCTTTATAGCAAGCAGTTAAGGGCACTGTGAACATGAGCAGGCCTTTGTAGAATGTAAATATTGCTTTGTAGTTGGGGCAAAATAGATGAGGGATTTTAAGAGCTAATCTGCTTGAAGATTACCATGGTGGCAGCGGTGTTTGCATTTGCACGCCCATTAGATAGAGCTTTCTTGCCATTCTGGGATGTGGGTAGCAGTGTGGGCGTCCCTAATGGAAATGGTTGCTTCCTCTGGCCCCTTTAGAGACTGTGTGCACACACTGCACTCCAAGGACACTTGGCTGAAGCAGGCTCGGGTGGTGAGGATTGGAGAAGTGCCCTACAAGGTAAGAGGGCTTGGGTCCCTCCTGTGCAATACATGTGTCCCCTAGCTTGATTCTCTTAGTTTTGTCTTCCCTCCGTTGGCAGATGTACATTTTTCACTGCAGCATGGCTAGTAGTAGTCCCTGGCTGCACTGTGGATCTGTGCATCTGCTTTGCCTGTGGGATCTGTAGTCTATGTGGTGCTCAGCTATCTGTTTTTCCTGCCCCGAGAGCTTCCAACAAAACTTTACCCTTTTGATCCTGTTCAAAGGCAGCCTGGAACTTTTCTATGATCTGGAGGATCTGGCTGCCTGTTGCATTCAGGTGCCGTGGGTTCTCACGTGTAAGCAGTAGAGACTCAAGGCAGCAAATGGACAATTCTCTCCCAGAGCCTTCTCCTTTGATGTCCCAGGAGAGTCTGGTTCATTTGCTGACTTTAGCCATTGTTTTGCCACAGATGGTGAGGGGCTTTTCCAACCAGGCGAGGAAGGCGCGCCTCATGGAGCCTGCCAACCGCGAGAAGCAGGACCTGGCCCTCTTCGGCCGCTGGCAGACAGAGGAGTTCCAACCACCTGTGGCCGTGGATGGAAAGGTAGCCAGGAGGGCAGTGGGCTGGGGTTGAAGAACGTGTTTTGTATGGAACTGTGGGCTTTATTTTTCCAGAGGAATGTGCATGTTTCGGAGGAGAGACCAGGCAATAGCATCTGGATCCAGACTTAGCATTCTGGAGTGACCATGCCCAGGAAGGGATGCTCAGAACTTCAGTTACATCTTCCTGTCCTGAGTACTCATAGATGGGTGCCAGCAGTATGGGCTGCTGTCTGATTTAGTTCAGTTAATTTGCCTGCTCCATGTTTGTTCTGCTAGTTCTCTACATTGCAGTCTTAGTTACAAAGCCTGGACAGAGAACATGAAGCAGGATATCCGTGAAGCTAAAAATCTAGCCCTGTGTACTGCCCTGTGGACACTAGTAGAATCCAGCTGTGCAGTGCAATCAGAAATGAAGAAAAGCGTCTCATTTGCAGCACATATTTTCACCTATCTGTGGAGGGTAGGAGGTGTCACCATTTCCTTTTAATTCTGCAACATCAGGTTCCCCGGAACGAGTACGGGAACGTCTATCTCTTCCTGCCGTCCATGTTGCCGGTGGGCTGCGTGCAGCTCAGGCTCCCCAACCTCAACCGAGTGGCGCGGAAGCTGGACATCGACTGCGCCCAGGCCATCACCGGCTTCGATTTTCATGGAGGCTACTCACACCCCGTGTACGTTACGCTGCTCTGCTGCAGCCCAGGTGTTCTGATGTCCTGCTGAGGTTGCATTAAGTGGGAGACATCCTGCTCTTTTGTACTGGCAGTGGCAAGGGAGTCGGTGGCCCTGGCATTCAGCAGCGGTTTTATATTCTCTCTGATTCTGCGCTGGTGTGGGAGGATGGGTGGTGATTTATGCCCTTAGAGCCTGTTCTGTTAATATTCAGCATCCTCTGGTTAGCCTGGGTCAGGCATTTGCTCCCTGTCTTTTTTTCTTCTAGTAGCTGACAGAGGATTGTGTTCTCCTTCCTAGCACTGATGGCTACGTCGTTTGTGAGGAATATAAAGAAGTGCTTATTGCTGCCTGGGAGAACGAACAAGCAGAAATAGAGAAGAAGGAGAAGGAGGTGGGAATTACTTTTGCAGCTTCCTTACTGTTACTTTTATTAGGTCAATTTGATGTAATTGTCCCTGGTCAAATTGCCAGGGACAGTTAAACACAGGTTGGGTGTATAAGTGGGAGTAATGTGTGAATTTTTCAAATGGCAGTTTCAAATCTGGAGATATATTGGCCTAAATACATTGGAATTTATGATAGCAATATTTTCTTTTTTTCAATGACAATCCCATATAGAAACGTGAGAAAAGAGCTCTGGGGAACTGGAAATTGCTGACAAAGGGACTTCTCATCCGAGAGAGACTGAAGCAGCGCTACTGCAGCAAGGTATTCTGTGCATGGGCTGTTAGGGAGCTCTTCTAGTGTGTTACCTTTCCTCTGGTAGGGTGCAAGACTTGGGCAATGTGTTTACTCAGTAATCTTTCTTTCCTGTTGTTAACTTGTGAATAACACATAGTTTAAAAAAAAAAGAAATAGGTCAGAGTTTCCTCTCAGTTACATGCATGGAAGGCTCGTTACTGTTTAACAAGAGACGAGTCTTTTCCAAAGCATCGTTATTTTATGAGACTGTTGGGTTTTTACGCACCCACTTCCTTGATTTCTTCCTCCAAGCCAAGCCTGTAGCTGACAGGATCGGAATGGGGTACTCTGTGATGTGTTTTAGTTCATAATTTTTACTATGTTGTGTAAGGTGAAACACGTGATCTTTTTAAAGCTGCGTTATTCTTTTTGCCACCAAAAATATTTTGTTTGTGTGGAAAGAATGCTCGATATCCAGAAATAGAAGCACGCGCAGAGCAGAGCAGTGAACTTGTGTACTGTCTGTAAGCGTCATTGTGACAAGATGAGCCTTTTTAGAAAGGGCCAATTCAGAGCAACTTCCACAACTCTCCGTTTTCACACCTGTTTCTTCCAAACTGAGCTGCCAGCACCTGAGGCAGAGAAAAGAGCCGGATTCTCTTCTGATGAAGAAGGAGGTCCAAGTTCAGAGACTGCAGCAGGGGACTTGGCTGCCTCTTGGCCTCAAAATCGCCAGGCAGAGAAGCAGAAGAAAGAGAAGACAACCAGGAAGAGCAGGCGGGAAAGGAAAGGAGAAGCAGCACAGTTGTTTCCCTTTGAGAAGCTGTGACCAGCACAAGCTTTTCTCCACCGTTTCCAGATGCCTGGACGCTGTTGTTACTATAGGAGTAGGCTCTGCCAGTTAAGGACTTTTAGCCTTCCTTGCATTTCTGAACCGTCAGGGACTAAACTTCTAGTTCAGCATCAGAGTTTCTTTTGTTATCACAGAAAACCACTTTCAACCTTTTATGCTCGGAGTCGTGAGGAGCAGAGGTGCACTTGTATCTTCTGAGAAGATCACTATATATGCATAGCTGGGCTTTTTTACTACCTTTTGTACGTATCACTCAGCGTGCTAATAAACCTGTTTTCTTTGGCATTCCTTTCCTTTTAACTGTCTTTTTCCATTTTTCCTTTCATTTTTTCCTGCTTATCCAAACTAAAACTAGTTAACTAGCCGAGTTGATGGATAGGCTAATTGGCTAAGTTCAGTCAGATGCTTCCATTCATATTGTATCAAAAGCAAGGTAGAGTTCTAGTCTCACTAATTACTTCTTTTATCGCAGAGGGGGAAGCATTTTCAGCAACGTGTGACGAAACGTTATCAAGTACTTAGAGGAACCTGAAAATGTATTTGTTAAAGAATATCTGCTTTTTGTGAAAACTCAGATTTGGCTTTTCAGCCCAGGATCAGAAATCTTGTAGAAAAGAAGCAGTCCTGTCCCCATTTCAACCATCAGGTTAAACAGAGCATCTTAGGTCATTTAACCAACTGTGTGTGTGCTTTTGGTTTGTTTGTACTTATGGTTTGGTTTAGGTTGATTTTTAGGACACCCTCTTTTTAAAAATAGAGGAGGATACAGTCCATTCACTGCTGGACATTGTCACAGGGGAAAGATTGAAATACAAGAAAATGGTTTTAATTTAAGTATGCTCAGGAAAAAAAAAAATCTATTTTTATACTGTATATGCGGGGCAAAATAAAGTATTGAAAAACATTAATCTTGTCTCTTATCCCTCCCTTCTGGCCAGCTCCCTTCTCCAGCAGCAGCTTTGTTGACTGGGAGGGATTCTCACCCAAGGATACGCACGTGGCAGCTGAGCTGTTTGGTTGTTTTATTTTTCCACCACGCTATTGCTGGAAGTTACAGATCAAGTCCTAGAAGCTTCCAGTATTGGCTGACAGTGAATTGTTTAGTGGTGAAAGTAGGGGTTTTTTTTGAGTTTTTGTATTCAACTTTGGACTTAAAGAAAAAATCTGACCTTACTTAAAGAAAAAATCTGACCTTTCACAAGCAGGTACCACTGCAGCAGGCTGAGGCCGTGGCTTCTGTTCCTCCTGGTGCCAGATATACAGGATCCACCCTCTGATGAACACCTGGAACGTAAGGAGTCAAGTCCAGCTCTTGTTAACCGTGCTAATTTTTCACCTTCTTCAAAGGGGATCAGGTACCAGCTACTGCAGAGCACTTTGCACTTCCTAAACTGGGCCTTTTAACATAGATACCCAAACTCAGAGAAAATAACATGCAAGGACAGGAACTTGCCCTTCCTTAGCTCTAAAAGGAACCAATCCTACCTCAAGCTGCAAAAAGAAATATACCTTAAAGGAAAGCAAAGCTGAAATGGAAAATTTTTTGCATAGCAAGTGGCTGTTGTCCACTTTTTGGAGGGAGGTAAGATGAGGATGTCTGAGCTGTTTCTACAGAAACAGTGTTTTGTGTATGTGCAGTGAAAGCAAGGCCCAGCTTCTCCACAGTGCCCGGCTCAGGAAACATTACATTCTTTCTGGGGAAGGCCTCTGTTTTATTTGCATCGTTCCTGCACAAGAACTAGCATTAAAAAAATATATATTTTGAGCTGCTGACATCAGTAACTCCCCAGTCCCCTTAAAAATAAATTTGAGAGGAGCAGCCCATCATCAAGTACATGAGTGGAGAGCAGCTGCAAGCTTCCAGGGAACTTCCCAAGACGGAAAAATAGTTGCAGGCTCTATAAACTATTTGGTTTGAAAGCTAGGCATTGTATTTATTTATTTGGACAATGCACAGACATGAAATGCACAATTAAGGTAAGGAAAAAAGAAACTCAAGACCAACTTTTTTGAAAATCATTTTTATTAAATATACAAAAGTTCAGCACTCTGTAGAATTTTTTTTCTCCATCTCTAATATGGTAATGCTGGTTGTAGTTTCCTGCAGCATTCGTGTAACAGCAGTCCAGCCCTTCTGCTTGTCTCCCCAGCAAAGTACAATTGCTCATTTGATGGCACAAAAGAGGCGTTAGTGTGACAGAAAGAGACTGCTCACTCTCCCTGACACATTCCCTGCATTAAACCAGTTCTTGCACTTCAAATATCTCTGCCCTCACTACCCCTGCTTACACCAGCACAACACAGGTGGGAGAATTTGAAGCTGAACTGACACTTAAAACACCAACTAAGAATTAAGGCTTAAAAACCAAACAGGACACATTTCATAAATCAATTTCCCATTTTAGTACTTTTTTTAGCAAACATTTGCTTCTATATATGTTCAAGTAAGTTCTTTTGCTATGGAGAATGTATTTCTCTGGACAGTCCTAACTGGACTTCATAAATATACTCGCTGAAGACCTTTCCTGTTTGGGTACTGATTTAGGTATACTTGAGAAACAATACTGAAGTGTAGGCAGGGCGCAACTCCAAGCTAGACTGTAGTGAGGAGGAGACTGACCTGAAAACAGCCCTAGATCATTTCCACTTGCAAGTACTGGTGACAGCAGAAATACGTAAACAGAATAATACACAATACTGCCCTAAGTCATTGCATTAACATGGTATAAAGCTCAAAAGTTAGGTTACTAAAGTTAATGAAATTAAGCAAAAATGTTTTCATGATGGATTTCATGGAACATTTCATTGTCTTTGCCAAGTGAAATTAAAAAACAAAAAACCCAGTATACACAGGACAAAAAAGCTTTCTGACAAGTGTGCCCTGCCTTAGAACACTATCCTGACCCCTCCTGACTGCAATTTTTTCATTTTATCTTCAGTCCAAAAGCACAGACACAGTACTTGAGCATAATGCTTCTTAGACAAATCGTGGTTTTTTGAACCCATACACATCAAAATGCATCAACAAAAGTGTACACGGCTGCATGTGTAAGAGCAAGGCAGAGGGAAGGATTGTCCAGAATCACACACGTATTTGCTAAGCCTACAGACAAGGTGAGGTCCACGATGCTCAATTATCAAGAGAATCAAGAAGTGGTAAGAAAAAACCTGCTCCTTCACTCATCCATAATGAACACAGACGCTCCAAAATGCTTTGTTCCCAAGATCAGCATTTGCTTCCTACAAAGCAGCATCCCTCAAGAGTCTTACTCTTCATGGACAAGCACGCCAAGGGTCGCATCCCAGCCCCGTCACGGGCCGAACTGCGCTGGGCTGCAGCAGTAATCGGAACAGAAAGACACTTGAAGAGGTACTAACCAGGACTGGGGGCAAAGGCCGAGCACCCCGATTCACTGGTGCTTCTTGGGCGGGACGCGAGACCTGGCGATCACGATAGGCAGCACAGAGAGCAGCCCCAGGAGCAAAGCCCAGAGAGGGCGGTAGAAGAACCAGCCAACGGAGATGGTGAGCAGCGACAACGAGCTGGCGACGCAGAAGGCAAAAGCTTTTAATCCAACGTTAACCAGGTCTCTCACTAGAGGAAACCAGTCCACTGCAGAAAGAAGTACAGAGTAAGGCTGTTGACAAGGTAACTGTTAACCAGAACACCCTATGAACACCCTATGTTGCTAATAATTCATTCCTAGGATCTGCACACTAACTGTTGTGGTCAGAAAACTCAAATTACCATCAAGGGGTCCTGGAGAGAATATCTCAGACACTGAGAGCATCTCAAGACATTTGGTAAGAGAGCAACTCTATTGCTTCAGAGAGGAAGTCACCCAAAAACAAGTTAAAAAGCTTAAGAGGTGCCACCAATGCCTGGGCTTGTTCCACAGCTATAAGGCTAACCCACAATAAGCAAACATAGAAAGGTAATTTTGGACAAGGGTAAATCTTGCAGTTGCATGTATGTGCACAGGAGGAAGAAAGAGAGTGCACAGCTACAAAAGACATTTCTAGCAATTAAGAACAAAGCACGTAAGAGCTTTGATGCTTGGAATTTATGCAAGTTTGAGGCACCCTACAGCTCTTCAAGTTTCTATTCCAGTATTTTTCTGAGTTAAAATAAGCCAAAACCTTATTTGCTGTGTGCTTACAATAGTGTAGACATGCTACTGTAATAGAAATAATTAAGATCTCCTTTGAGGGAACCTTTTGTATGTGGATCTAAGACCACATTGCAGCACCTGGAGTCAGACTTGAAAGAACTGAAACGACTTGTGCTTTGGCTTCTGATTTTGGTAAGCACTGTGAACCTCCAAGTACCAAAGAGCTATTTACCTATATATATATATCTAGGTAAATATATATATTTATGTTTAGCCACGTGGTTCTGGTTATTGTCTGCAATTGCCTACAGTGACTTTCAAATCCAGGGCCCAGTGTGAACTGGGTTTCAATTTTTAGGTTTTTTTTTTCTCCCAAAATTAATCTCGTTTATTCACATTGTAATCAAATTTTATTTCTAAACTGTGATACCTTTCTATAACAAACTTACCCAAAGTGTAGATGATTCGGGTCATTAGGCTGATGCCCACAAACATTGCCAGCCAGCCGGCCCCACGGAGAGCCCAGGTCTTCATGGTGTTGCTCTCATGCTCTTTTTGAAACACCTCCTGAAAGGCAACACCGTTACACGCAGTCTCATGCATTTTCTTTCAGGATCTGTGTCCAGTACATTACAAGCAAGTCAGAGGGACAGTATTTCAGCTGTAAAAAATACAGTGCAGCTCAACCTGTAGGGTCTGAATTTTAGCAGTAATACCCCAGTACATTATGACATATTCTAAAATGCAGCACAAGGAAATATGCATCTTTCTAACCATGCTGAAAAACGTATTTTAAAAAAGGCATTTTCTTATAGCCAGGCAGAAGGTGCACATTTTTTGCTACAAATGCAGAAACCTAGAAGGCAAGCACAGGCTATCATGCCTCTTCCTAGATACAGGAAAGAGAAAGGGAATGTTTAGACCAGATCATTGCTTCTCTAGGACAGGCCTGAAGAAAAACAAGTGTATTCGCATTTCCTTGCTGCTTCTTGGCTGCCAGCTCCAATTTCAGGCTTCCCTGGTGTGGTTTGGCATCTCACCTCCACAGAGAGGTCTCCAGGGTAGAGAATCTGCAGGGCATCTCCAGACTTGGTGCGATACGGAATCAGCTGATCCCCACGCTGGCGAGCAACCACAGTCACCTTGGAAGAAAGGGAATTTTACTGATTACCAAGTTGGCACCAGAGTTTGCAAGACACAGGAAAAGCTGACGACTGACCTTATCGGCTGAGCCCAGATGGGGGTTATATCCGCTCAGACCCGCGTAGAAGAACGAGACACGAAGGTCTCCCACCTACAAACACAAAAATATTGGAAATCAATAGAGAAAGGTATTTCCAAAAGAGAATCCCAGGAAAGATAACTGAATTAGAGCATCATTTATTGGATCACATTTTTTCTGAACATTTATGTCAAGTCAGTAGAATTTCCAAATAGCACTTTTCCAGGCCACATGGATAAAAGAAACAGGATATGCTCAAATGCTGCTTTGCAATACTCTCCCCGATTCAGCTGCAGGAGCTCATTCATGAGCTCCTTCTTCACACCCCTTGCCATTTTCGCCTTTTGGCAGAGGAGGGCAGGCAGCACCAGCAGACAACAAACTACTTCGCTGTGTTCAACTCTACAGCAAGGCAGAGGTGGCACCATCCCTCTTTTCATTTAAAAGTATGGCAGAGGAAGAGACTCAAGAAGACAAAAAGATACAAGCAGGATCAGAAGCTCTCTTGCTGAAGCACTGTATTAAGAGTCTCATCCTACATGGTGCCCAGCACTACAACTTCTACATATTGCAATGGAAGTGGGACCTTCCCCAGCTTTCTTTCTCACGCAATAATAATTGTTGCTTTGATCTATACATCTCTTCTTACTTCTGGACGCCTGGGGTTCTCGCTGTGGTAAAAGTAGTCTCCTGTCCTGGTAACATCAGCATGTGGATCCTCAAGGTTTGACAAGCTCAGCTGCTTGAAGTCATCAATCTTATCCACTAGACCTAAGCAGAATACAGAAGGAAGCTCAGATCTGGACTCTAACTTGGAACAACCAGCACACTGGCTCCCTGGTTACTACTCAAAACAACTGTCCCTGTGGGAAGAGCCAGAGTCCACTGCTGATGCAAAAGGAGCCACAGCAGCAGCAGCACAGAGCAACTCTTACCTTTAGAAAGAACAAAGCTGCCAACCTGGACGTTAGGAGAAACAGCAGTGAAAGACTCCACAGCCATGGCACTGTGGAACAGAAACAGTCCCTGATTAGTTCTAGAGTTAGGGGCAAACTCTTCATTTGCAGTGTTTAATATATGGCACAAACGTCAGGTGAATTCCAAGAGCTAAAGGACTGACACAGTGTAGCATAAGCAAAATGTTGCAGATGAGAGAAATAAGAAAAATTACACGTAGTTGATTGCCACAAACCAGCCTGTGAACTCACACATACCAGCTCAGAAGAGCAGAGTTCAAGTAGATAGACAAGCACATGGAATGCCTGTGATTCCAACTTTGTAATTTCAATTTGTAATTGTCTATTTTGTAATAGAAAGAATAGAAAAACAGTAATGCGCTGCACTAATAGACAATAAAAGTCTAAAAAAACCAGCCCACTTAAATTTTCCTACCAGAGGGAGACCACATGGTCCAAAGGTAACATAATAGCCTGACATCCAGCCACAACTAATGCGTAATTTAATTCCAGATGCACCAGGCAGCTTTGAACTGTTATCTAATCCCTCCATGTCTAAGTTTTCCCAACTAAGAAGTCCAGCAGTTTTCATCCACCTTGCTGTGCCATGAGGATTAGTGATTCAGAACTTATCTTTGACCAGATATAGTGAGATAATCTAGGGGGACTGTCTACGTGCACGTTACCTAGGGTTTTTATGTCCAACTTCTCTATCGAAGTTTCTGCTGTTCACAACTTCTGATTTCCATTCGGTATCTAAAGAAAAAGAGACAGGAAAAGTTGTCACCAAGATCTGTTACTTAAGAAAGGCTTTTCTCAAGCAAAGAATTGGTTCTAAGTTGCACTTACAGTAATGCTTTTTACATCAAAGTATATGTGTGATAGTTTGTAACAAAATATTTAAATCTAGTATTTTAACATATTAACAGGAATTGAAGGATTTATATAAAAAAAGAACTTTCAGGGATAGTACGGTGGCCCAACTGTGCTCAATGGTATTTTTCCTTATCAAGCTTTGATTTTTTGCCTCCTCTCTCTGGGAGTGATCTGGTTCTGCAAGAAAATGCTGTGAGCTCTGCTGGAACTGGCAGACTCAGTACAGTAAAGCAGCAAATAGAGACAGTACCTGTACATTTCACAGGCAAAGATTTACAATACTGCTTCCATTCAAGCCAAGGCCATCTCCCAACACCCTCAAGCCAGGCTCCAGGAGATTTCTTACACCTGAAAAACTAGGACTCCTTTTTTGAGCAGTTCCCATATTACATTTAGCTCTACATGCTTCCACGAAGGAACAGAGAAGGAGGAAAGGCAATTTGGTTGAACAATGGAGGAAGAATTATTATGAGGGGTATTCTGGCAACATACATCCTAATACTGGATACAATCTTATCAGTCTTGAGAGAGAAGGGAGTTTTTTTGTTTGCTTTTTTTTTTTTTTTTTCATGGCTTTTCTTTTTGTCCCCTACCACTGTAAAGCCATCCTTTTCCATCCCTTACATCCACTACATCTGATGCAATGTTTCCATGCTGTACAGTCTCACTTTCACTGAGCTGGCCTAGAACTGCTGCACACCCACGTTACACGTCCACGTGCTTTAACTGGGGATAAATGAGGAAGAGACTGATTCCAGAGATACAATGACTCAGAGCATTTTTATGCCACTGGGCAGATCAAAATAATCCTCTCTGTTCTGCTCCTGCCAAAAAGCCATTTGGCAAAAGCTGCAGTGCACATCAGGAGGTGCTGGCGGTTTTCACAAGCTGGTATCAACACTTAAATGGAGTCTCAATATATTGCTTTACAGGCTGGGGGCTACCCTGTTCTTTCCTGTTTGTTCTCTTCAGCTCATGCCTCACGTGCCCAGCTATCCCACTTTAAAAGAGGAATCTAAGGATATGCATTGCGCTCCCAGCTCTGCTCACCTCCTGCCACTGAGGACCTGTCTCTAGAACACTGAACACTGCTCTGAACTGGGATTTCTAATACAACACTTAAATGTTCTGTAAAAACAGCACAGAGTCATCCTTTCACATTGTTTACCTCCAGAAAGAGAGGTCCCAATATTTGTTTAGGAAAAAGAACGCTTTTGTTTCTTCAAATTCCTTTCCTTTCCTTCTCTTCCCAACAAGGAAATTATAGGGTTTGAAACACCAATCAATACGCACCTACATAAGAGCCAGAGTCATGCAAGATACCTTCTCTTGATCAACTTACTGTATGTGTACTTTGTCTCTTTCTTGATTTCACCATTCTCTTCATATTCCCTGCAGATAAAAAGGGTGTGGTGAGAACCAAAATTGAGCACGCACACAGCTGATCATGTCAGAACACACTCCACAAATAAAATGTACAGATAGTTCCCTGGGAAGACACTGCTAGTTACCAGCCTCCAACTAAACTGCACCACTGGTCACAACTTCTTAAGTTCTGCTGTTTAGCCAATTTTCAACATACCTCACTGTCTGCTAATCTAGCACAGACTTCATCAATCATCAGATCCAGTTGATTTCTAAAAAAATAAACCCCACTTGAAAGATTAAAAGAAAAAAATATATATATTACTGTTGTGGAGGAAAGGAAGAGATATCAGGTAAGCCATAGCAATAGCATGAAGGCCAAGAAGTCCCATAGGAAGCTATACAAAGTCAGACATCCAAATTTTATCAGACACAAATTCCACAACATAAACCATTTATTAGATCTGACACCCGTAATAAAGTAAAAATAACTGTAAAAAAAGCCCCAAGAGCTCTAGAATTCTCCTGCTGTAGAGTTTTTTTAATGGGATCCCAATAATACAACATCTTTCAAAATAATTGTTTAAAAAGTTGATTAAGAAGCTCATAACTTTTCTTTCACTTACTTGGAATCTTCATATTCTACCCACTGGTACATTTCCACATTACGCTTAAGTTTGACGGCATGGATGGAGAGCCCATAGCTGGGATCAAACAAAGGCTATTGAAATTTAAAAGAAAATGCAAATCAGTATTTATGTTGTACTTCAGGCAAATTTAAAGGGAAGGAGAAAAGTTACATATCTGCTCCCTGAATATCAGAAATAAAGACTTGCCCTGCGCTTCAAGCTCTCCTGTGTCCAACATGCTAATTTACTTACCTTTGATGTGCTCAGAGGGCCAGCTAGGTGCACCAGTCTCCCCTCATTCTCTTGTGACACAGCTTGGATATTATCAAGAGGAACCACCAGAGAAAGCCCCTCATCAAGAGATTTGGCTGTCCTCAGAGCTCGTCCCTGCAGTCAAGGGAAGCAAATGGAGTTGTGGAAGATGAATTGTACAGCATCATTTTGTGAAATGAAAGGCAATCAGCAGACCCTAAGGAACACTTGTGTATTTAGCCTCAAAGCATTTTCTCAAAGTGCCCTTAATGATTTTCAGCTGTCTCTTTCTGTGTCTGAAGTAGTCTGAGAAAGGGGGACTTCTTATCCACGCAGCAGGTCCATTAATGCTATCTAAGCTACTAACACAAACACAGATTACTCATACGAGGCTCTATAAGCACTGCTCGTCATTTTTTACCTTGCTCATTACTCTTCAGTAAGTGCATTAATTGCACCAGTTAGCATTCTTTTTCTTGGTCCTATTTAACTGCTGGGCAGAAGTTCTCCTGTCCATACCATCATGTTACAGTGTGGGGTTTTTTTTTCCTGCAAAAACACTGAGGTTGGGAGTGGTCCTTTTTTTTCCTTTCATAGAAGTATGAAAGAAAGTAATAAATGAAAGCTCAGAATTATGCTCCCCCTCTCCGATACTGCCAAATATCCAAACTCTGACACCTCCCACAGCTGCAATCCTTCAAATATCTACATCAGGTGTAACTTTGTCACCACCAGGACTTCTTCCACTGGTTGCAATTGACGTTCTCATGATGGGAGGTCTGTGTGTCTTGGGAAGCATGTGTTTGCAGAGGATATAACTTACCTATGTACTTTAATTATTGAATTTTTTTTTTAACATAAAACAAGTTAAGCTGTGACATTATAAAGCAGTGTAGGCATTAATAGCGTTCCACTTACCTCGTTGGTAAAAAGAAGATAGAAAGACAGAAGAAACGTCACAAGTCCCACCAACATGCCCCCAGATGTCTCGCTGAGCCGCTCCAGGAACCCTGGCTTGGCCTGGCTCGTGATTTTAACATGTTCTTTTTTGCTGCCTGTGTCAGAGAACTGCTGGAAGCAAACCAAAAACACAGCATTGCTGTGAAAGGGCAGGACGCTGTTTCAAAATAAGTCTTTCAGCTTTGTTAAAACCACTGCTCCGTAGAGCAGCACTTCTTGGCTCAGATGTAAGCTTTTCCTCACTTGTAATTTTTGTCACAATTTAGACACTAGAAACGCAAAAAAATAAACTTAACAGAAGTAAGTATGCTTTATATATATTAAAAAAAAATGCATGCATACACGTTCAAGGTTTTTAAAGCCTCCTCAGCCTGCTCCGAGGTCGCCCACACCCTGCACTCAGGCCGTGACAAACTGACTAAGACTCGCGAATTCCCACCCAGCTGCAGCACAGCTAAAAATAACAAGTTACACTTTCTTTCACCGGGGAACAAGAGCCGCACCCTGAGCGGCCAAGGGGACAACGTGGCTGCCCCGCAGCAGGGAAACCGCCACGCAGGCAGCGCTCACTCACGTTCCTCGACATCTTCAGCCTCTTCCCCTCGCCGGGAACCGCCACAAGCTCCGCGCAGCACCAGCCCCAGCGCCGCCGCCCCCTACGCGCTTGCCCGCCTCAGCGCCGCTCCTTGCCCGCCTCAGCGCCGCCGCGGGGCACGCCGGGACTTGTAGTTCCCAACCGCTAGCCCACGGGAACCTGCCAGCGGCGCGCGCGGGGCACGCCGGGATCTGTAGTCAGCAGCCAGCGCTCCCTTCCCGCCTCGCCGGCGGGGGTGGAGCTGCCGGGGGCAAGGAAGGCGCTTCCGGGGCGGGAGGTCACGGCGTGGAGCCGCGCGCCGTTGCTGGGAGCGGGAACGGTTTGTCCGTTAAACAGTCGGCCCGTTGAACGGTCAGCGCGCGCCGCGGGGGACAGCACGGAGCGCGCCGCCATGTCGTACTGCCGGCAGGAAGGTGCGGCCCGCGGGGCGC